TAGCTGGTGCTATGTGAGAGCCTGTCTTGAAATAAATAAAAAAGGATTACCACAGGGCAGAAAACCCTGACTGCTCTTTGGACTGGAGAGGGAGGGGGAAAGGAGTGGGGGGAGGGGGAGAAGGGTGGGAGGAGGGGGCGTAGGGGGGGAGGAGGGGGAGGGAAATGGGAGGCTGGGAGGAGGTGGAAACTTGTTTTTTTTTTCTCCTTTTCTCAATAAAAAAAAAAAACAACCAGAAACCACACCCAGAGGCTTTGAAACCTTCCTAAACACAGAACGTCAATCAGGAAAGTGGGATGGAGGCGGTAGAAACACAGACGCAGGAGCTATTTTTGAGAGACTAGAAATAAAAAAACTACAGGTGTGTTCTGCACAAGTAGAAATGTTCCCAAATCCATAAGTCTTCTTTCTAAATAAAAACAAATCGGGTTGCAACATCTCATGCTCGTTTCCAGGGACACACAAATAGTTCAGGTCTCTGTGCCTTATTTCAAGAACCACAGAGGGCTCGCAGACACCCACTAAAGGTGTCTGACTCATTTTCTAGAAAGTCACACAAATGACAACCTAGAGTGGGAAAGGAGGCCAGAGCCTGCTCTGTGACTCCTGGCAGGGCACAGAAAGCAGGGCAGCCGGGCGGTGGTGGCGCATGCCTTTAATCCCAGCACTCGGGAGGCAGAGGCAGGCGGATCTCTGTGAGTTCGAGACCAGCCTGGTCTACAAGAGCTAGTTCCAGGACAGGCTCCAAACCCACAGAGAAAACCTGTCTCAAAAAAACAAAACAACCCCCCCAAAAAAAAAACCAGAAAGCAGGGCAATGGAAATCACCTCAGCTGACAGGCAAATGAAAGAGCTCTAGCATGTGGGGCCAGTGGAAACTCAAACAGTGAATAACACTGAAAGGCAAAAATAGTACTTCAGCTCTTTTACCTCAACTCATATACAGAATAAACAGGTACAGGTACATCCAAACACATATTTAGCCAGTGGTGACGAACCTATCCATTTTAGGTTAGCTTATAATCATCCAAATGAATCTGAGTGACTCATCAACTAAAAGGAAGAGGTAAGAATTTTTCTACAATATCAGTAGGTTTTTTTTTTACAGACTCAACACCATTTTTCCTACTTTCAGCAGACAAAAAAGCAGCATATTTTTCTTTCATCTTGCTAAAACCTCACCCATTGAATTCTTAACTATTGCAGGTGGATTTTTAAAAACACCTTTACCCACTTAATGTCATCCTTGTATTCATCCCCAACAGCAAGGAGGGACCAGACCCAGAGCCTACAATTCCTTTTGCTAAAGTTTCAAAAGGAAAAGCCAGAATGGAAGCTGACAATAGCTAGAATTATTGTTAGCACAGGCAGATTCACTGCTGTAAGACATGCCTCATGCACAGCACCTTAACAAACAGTCACAGTAGGCCTGTGACGTCAGCTTTCTGACCCTTGCTTACAGCTGAGGAAATTAAGGCTCGGAGAGATCAGTTCACATGCCCAAAGATACATCACCAGAAACCGTGATGCTGGAACTCCAACCTTGGCTTCCCTGAGCTGGAAGCCTACAGGACTCATTATCTTAACACGCCACTCTCAAGGTCAAGGTTGGCAGAGATTTTATGACAATGAAAATGAAGTCTGTATCAGTAGAGGATAGTAAGAGTTCTGTTTTCTCAGCAGATCATATAAAATAATATGAATAAAATGACAAGCTCATAATATCGGTAAGATAAACTGATGATCTTAAATAGTGATCTTAAATATCACTATAGAAACTTCATCCAGCAACTGATGGAAACAGAGGCAGAGATCTGCATCGGATCACTGGACTGAGCTCCCAAAGTCCAGTTGAAGAATGGGAGGAATGAGAATATGAGCAAAGAGGTCAAGACCATGATGGGTACACCCACTGAAACAGTCTACTTGACCTAATGGGATTCAGAAACTCCAGCCAGACTGGGAAGGAACAAGCATAGGACCAAACTAGTCCCTCTGAATGTGGGTGACAGTTGCATGGCTGTGGCAAACTGAGGAAACACTGGCAGTGGCACCAGGATTTATCCCTACTGCTTGTACTGGCTTTTTGGGAACCCATTCTCTCTGGATGGATACCTTGCTCAGCCTAGATATAGGAGGGAGGGCCTTGACCTTTCCCAAAGCAATGTGCCTTACCTCTCTGAGGATTGGATTGGGGGGAAGGGTATGTGGAGGGAATGGGAGGAGGAGAGGGAGTGGGAACTTGGATTGGTATGTATAATGATAAAAAGATAGTTTGTTTTCTTTTTTAAATAAATAAATAAAAGGAAACAAAATTGCAAAAAAGGAAACAAAATTGCAAAAAAGAACACAACACGTGCACATATGTGTAAACACAAGCATCTATACACTAAATATATATTTTTAAAGAAAACAATTCAGTGGGTAGTCAGCATCCCTACAGGAATGTGCATGCTCAAAGTCAGTCCCATGAGGACATACAAGTCAAATGGGGACATATGGTAGGTGTCTCAGAAAAGTTACATATTCCAAAGCCAAAATGTCTGAGGGAAGAAGTAGCATATCCCCAGTCGGATTTTACCACAAAAGAAAGTCATTGAAGACTTTGGTTGGTGCACAGGGATCACAAATTAAACATTGTTGTGGGGTGTCAAGAAGAAGATGCTGGGATGCTAAGGATGAAACAGTTGGGTAGATGGGGCGGGAAAAAAGCACCCCTCCATGTTCACCACCTCAGGGCACTTCTCAGCAGCGAAGGAGGAGACTCAGAGCGTTCATCAGGCCAGTAAAGCAAGCCTGGGCTCATTTGCATGCTCAGGAAGTTGAGTGGAAGGAAGCTTGGAAGGGGGCAGAATTAGGGACCAATTGTCTAAATAGCATATGGACTCTTGGCCTAGAGAACAAATGTGTATAGGGGAAATGGCAGCATCATATTATATTCGCAAACCACTTCCAAGCGTCTCGACATTTGAAACCAGAGAAACGGGGTGCAGCCCTCAGAGGGCACTCTTAAAAGTAGCCTGTCACATTCTTCTGTTCATGGGTACCCACTGAATGGCTGGGACTTGTTGAGGTTGCTTTTCAGACCAAGCTCTCCCTTCCCCAAATCAGATTCCTTTTCTGAGACTGGATCCTAGACTGCAACATACAGGACAAAACCAAGAAACGAATGTGTGTATTCCTTAGGCACAGAACGTATTCAAGTGGCAAGGACTGGAGGGTAGGTTCTTAAAGGGGAAAATCGCCATCTCCAGATAAAAGAGAAATCATGGTGCTATTTCCTTTTCTCAAATCTTCATAAATGTCACTAACACACCATGTCTCAATAAAAAGAGGCTGCCCCCCCCCAGGAACAAAACAGAAATAAAGACAGTGAGTCCATCCCCCACTACAAAGAATGGCGGTTTCTTAATTTGCTATTCTGTCAGTATAAGGGGAAAGTGCTCTATTCCTTCCCTGCACGGCTAAAAACCAATTATCAGTGCTAATTATTAAAGCATTTGCATTATGCTTCGCACCCATTTAACAACTTGCTTATCCCACTTGTTTGGCTAAAGGTCTGATTAAAAATAGGAAATGCACTTTGCAGAAGAGAGCTGCCTTCTAAGGAGGAGGGGAGGGTGGGGAGAAAAGGGAACCACTTCTTGCAGAAAGGAGCAAGAAAAGCATTGTTCCCTTCCTATTCTTTCCTCCTGCCACATTCAACACCCACGGAGTCACACTGAACTAAGGTAGGGGGAGAAGAGCTTACAGGTAAAAAAGATGGACACATTCTCAGAGGAGGGAATAGTTGACTATTCCAGAAGGTGTTTGTATAGTTGTAGCGCTGTTCTACACTCATTGAGTCCATGAGAGGGTCAACAGTCTTCCCCCCTCCAAAAAAAAAAACCACCCAACAATCACTAGATAGTTGGTAAGCTTAATATCTGGAGCACTTCCTACACTAGCATCTAGAGGTAGAAATAGGCAACACCATAGCAGTCCCCCAGCTTCTTGGTAAGAGCCACAGGGCCTTTGCCCAACTCACATTCCCTGTTCCCCTTCCTGGATCATGCATCTTTTAGAGTGACAATACTTCCCTGTCCTATAAGAGCTCAGGTGACTGTGGAGATGTCTAAGTCATCCTGGCATGTAGAAAATAACCATGTTTCCAGCCACTCGCCTGGACCCAAGAATAAAACTACTTTCTGCATCTTAAAGGTTGCCTGGCTTCTTGTTGCACTCAACCATCACAAAATCCTTATACTTCAGAGAAGAATGTTGTTTGTTCTAGGAAGCACTTGACTAATATGACTTCTAGCTACCTGCGCGGTGAGTGGCATTACATGAAAGGAGAAATGCTGTGTGGTCAAGACCTTCGCAAACTGCTTTGCTTCACGCAGACTTTATAGCTCTCCAGCATTTCACGTGGCTCTGGCTGTAGTGATAATAAAATCATCCAAACTTTATAGCCCAAACAAGACAAGCAAAATTCATTCCGGCACTCTCCCTGCCTTTGATCTGAATAGCAAACATTCTTTAAGGTTTTGCTGCTTGTGAGGCATGACCAGCCTTTTAAGAGCCCCTCCTTGGGTTCCTAATGACACAGAGCTTTCAGCCTGGCCACTGTAGAGGGCAGAAGCTGCAGCTAAGTAGGCTGCTTTCTAGAACAGACTCCTCTTCAGGGTCATGTAGGTGTGCAGCTGGCCCTGAGGTAGACAGAGACCTACTGGGTTCTCAAGTTGCCTTGTTTTCTAGGATAACCTGAGCAGAAAGAAAAATGCAAATATTTCTCACAAGTTTGAGACCATAAAACAAAGCAAGCCAGGCATGATGGAACATGTCTATGATTCCAGCACTCGGGAGACTAAGGCAGAAGGGTGGCGAGTTCAAGACCAGCTTGGGCTATCTAACAAGGCCCTGTCTCAAAACAAAACTAAATGGCTAAAATGAATGCTTATCGTCTCTAGCTACTACAAAGCACTTTACAGCTTAGAAAGTGGGAGAGAATCTTTGTTTACCTTATTGATGAGAGTCACTATATCTCCTTCCTTGATTGTCAGTTCGTCATCATTCTGTGCCTCATATGGAAATATTACTTTGCAGTAATCCTTGGCTGTAAGAAAGAAAAAGTAGAACCTTTAAGGGGCGTCAGCCAATGAGCAGACTCAGATGGAGAGGTTCCCTGCCACAACAACCTCAAGAAAAAGGGATGCTTAAAGGATATTACTGAGGATAAAGAAGGGGTTCTGCTCCGAAAGCTACCTAAGAGAGCTTATGGTGGGCTCATGAATATTTGTCTCTGCATTTTACCCTCACGAGTCACAGAACACCATGAATGCCATGGGCCAATTTGCTTTTCTCAGGTAGAGAGGCCACATGGCATCTTTCATCCTGAGAAAGTAGATGTGTACCATCTGATAATTTCTGAAGGAATATAGACAGGCAGATTTGAATTTTTTCCTCATTGCCTTACTGTACAGATTACAAAATGAGAAAAAGGGGACTTTTTTTTTAAAAAAAAAATCTGTTATAAAACCAACACAGTGAATAAAACAATGAAAAATTTCCTCATTACCCTATATATTAGGACTGAGCTCCCAAGGTCCAGTTGAAGAGCAGAAGGAGGGAGAATATGAGCAAGGAAGTCAGGACCATGAGGGGTTGGTTCACCTACTGAGACAGTGTGCCTGATCTAATGGGAGCTCACCAAAGCCAGCTGGACTGGGACTGAACGAGCATGGGATCAAACTGGACCCTCTGAATGTGGCTGACAATGGGGGCTGACTGAGAAGCCAATGAAAATGGCACTGGGATTTGTTTCTACTGCATGTACTGGCTTTTTGGGATCCTAGTCTGTTTGGATGCTCACCTTCCTAGGCCTGGATGGAGGTGGGAGGACCTTGGACTTCCCACAGGGAAGAGTACCCTGCCCTCTCTTAGGACTGGAGGGGGAGGGGAGTAGGTGAGTGGCGGAGCAGGAGGGAAATGGGAGGAGGGGAGGAAGTGGAAATTTTGAATGGTATTATTTATAAAGCAATAAAAACAAAAACTAAAAAAGAGATAATCACCAATGCATTTGCATATAAAAAGTCAACTATGAGCAGCCAACAAATACTGTCAAAACATTTTTATGCACCTCTATGTAGGATGGGTGAACTTATTCATTGTATACCTCATGGTCTTTTTGCACAAACCTGCTTGATTTTGATGGGGCTGTTATTGGGCAAGAAAATACACAGTCCTTGCTGAAGAGGAAAAAAAATACTTTGGCTATTCAAAATCAGTCCACATATTAATGAGTTTTATGCTTTGAAACTGTATCTGATATGAAGTTAGTGATATCAAAAAGCACCATGTAAAAATAGCGAAAACCTTTGTAGGGAATTTGGGAAATGAGGACTTGGCCACCAGGCTTTCAAGACTTAGGACAGAAGGTGGAAAGAAAAACTCAAAGAAGTTAGTATCTTCTAGAGCAGACATTTACTGTAGTCTACAATAGAGTCCAAAAATTGCACAAATATTTCCTAAGGCAGCTAGTCATAACCTACAGCTATATACATGAGTGTCAATTACATGGTTGCCAGTATACTTTATACCACAAAATGCAATGTTTTATGTTGGTGAGCAGCCTATCCATCAAAGAGAGTGACATGTAAAATAAAGGCGATCAGACAATCCATAATGCAGACACACTGTGCTCTAGGGTGGATATGGCAAGGCGGGGAGAGGGAATCACTCTACTTCTGTGCAGAAGTTCTTGGCTTCTGTCCAGTGGCTTGAAGATAGCAGTTATATCCCCATCTGCATGGAATGAACCTTCATCCTTGGGTTCTCTGGGCTTTCTCATGGCTTTGGCTCATTGATCTCCCCTGAGAGGCACCTATTCTAAATCCTACTGAGACCATACTCCTAAACTGACAAGAATCATCAATGTGATATCTCCATTTAATTAGATATAGCAAAAACTTCCCCAAGTCCAAATTGGTTAGATGTTCTAAAGGGAGGGAAAAAGACAAACATCTTTAAATTGAATAATGACAGTTCTTCACCAATTTTCCAATTGACTCTGCTAGTGAAATATGACTTCCTAACCTCAAAACTTCCAACATGAACACACAATATCACTGAAGAACTACCCTACAGAGTCCCAAGTTGGCAAATAACTCTCTGGATAGAAATCAGAGACATTTTTTTTAAAAAAGAATATCAGTTACTCATGACCAACAAAGAAAGAAAGAGCATGCCATGTTTCTGTGTCTTTCCATGAAAAGGTTAATAAAATGTGATCAACCACTGTGGATTAACTTCCCAGCAGCCACCCCCAATCCCATTTCTACTTCGCAGAATCCTCATTTGCTCAGGTATATCCTGTTCAGGAAAGTAATGTTAATTCTGCATCCAGATAGTAACTGGGACCAACTCTGCTTAGCTTCTAAGATCAGGCATGTTCAGAGTGACAGGGCCAAAGACAAATAATGTTATCTCACTCCCCCCTGCTGCTGATTTGTTTAGGGGTAAGATGTGATCTTCTAGTCACTGAAATCCGAAAAAAAAAGGGATCTGTTAGGAATGCCATTGATAGATCTTTTTTTTTTCCCTAGAGACGAAAGGCACACAGTTGTCTGCCTCTGGTCGCTTTCCTTGTGGTACACAGGGCCTGGGCATGCTAGCTGAACACTCTACCACTGGGCCTTAAGGCTTCTAACACTGTTCTATCATTGCTGGAAGACAAGACAATGTTAGGCACTGTTGCGATCATGTTTGAACAGTATGAGAAAAGGCAAGAATTGGATCCTGAGTCCTGCCGGTGTTGAGCCTCCCTTCAAATTCACCAGCCTCACAGGGCCCTTTTCTCTGAGTCTCTTGTGCTGCAGCTTTAGCAAATTAATTGTTTCCCACTGTTTTGTAATCCAGTAGGAAGCTTATTAACATGGAGAAACTTCACACAAGTTATCTTCTCAACATCCTCTTACTATAATATGCCTCCTCACCATCATACCCTATTAAAAAATATCTTTATGTCATTTCTTTTCTCTTCATCTCTCACCTTCCTATTTCAGGGCACAGTCTATAGAAGTACACCATAATCACCATAATGGAATTATTGCTAAGAAAGAGCTCATGAGCCTTTAAATTATTTCACAAGGATATTTTATTTGATACTTACAGGTTCCCTGTAAGCTACGAAGGGCATGTGTCTCTTAGATTTAATAAGATCAGGTTTTAATAAGTCTAAGTTTGAAGGAGGGGCAATAGAATTTAGCATTCTACCATGATAAAGGCGAAACTAGAAGAGGAGGATTAAATAGGGGGATGAGAGATTGGGGTCACAGTAGATGATTATCAGTACAGAGACACACAAACTAGACAATGTACAAAGAGCAAGAGACTTTGGATCACTCGGTCTTAAATGGGATGTCATTATTAAACCCCTTTCCTCAAGGCTCAGGGATCTATGCAGAAGAAGAGAAGAAAGAGTATAAGAGCCTAAGGTGATAGATGACTCCAAGGAAACAGTGTCTTACACAAGACACAAGGCTGACACACACATATAAACTCACAGAGACTGGTAGCAAGTGTAGGGCAGGTCCAAGACAGCCAGGGTCCCAGAACTGAGAGGGGGAAGTGGCCACGGGGTCCCATCCCTAACCAAGAAGCTGAAAATGATACCCACTGGCAAAGGGAAAATCAGTTTTCTCCAATGACACAGCACTGGGAATGTCAACCACATTCATGGGCAGGTCGCGTGTCCAAGAGCAGTTTACAAGACAAAGCAGACCCCAAGGTTTTGTTTTGGTTTTGAAAAGAGAAAGAAAGGGAAGTTGGGTGGCTAGGGGTGTGGGGAGGACCTGGGAGGAGTTAGGAGATGGGAAAGAATATGATCAAAACATATTGCATAAAAATGTTAGATAAAAGAAAAAAATCACTCATTTCAACAATATAGTTTAATGTGCTTAAATATTTCTACACTTGTGCGAATCTTGTCATAATTTAGTTTTAGAACATTTCTGCTATGCAGTTATGCTGTTTGATATTATGAGGCATTAGACACAGAATTATCTTGAAAGCATTACTTTTAGACAAGGAGTAACTGTAGCTGTAGCTACTGTCTATAACAATCTACAAAGTAGGCTTCTGCCATTGGCTTTGCCACTATGTGCATCCCCAGAACTGACACAGAGTTCTTGTGTCTTTCCTGATGATTGGTCCTTGAGTGACACCTAACAGGTATTGTAACACTCAAGGGACCGCAAGTAGAAGATTCTGGGTCAGAAGTCGGGATACTTGGAACTGGACTCAGTTCCAGCTGGATTTTGTGGAGTGCATGACATGAGGCAGTCACATGGTAGCTGTGGATGGCCACAGCGCCATCAGGTATAAAATAAGGGACCACCAAAGGAGGAGAAAGGTTAGCTTAGTTAACATCAGCAGAACATCTTTAGCCCATTTGAATGCATTCCAAATCTCAACGTTTAAACAACTCAAAACAGCTCTGCTATGCTCTGATCAGAGAATTGAGTTGTTCCAGCTTCTATTTAGGACCTCAAAAGTATATCACTGCTGTTCTGAGGACATCCATTTTGCCATCCTGGGCTAGACCTATGTCCTTTCCAGCAATGACAGTTCAACACTCCAGCCACAGCCACTTCTGAGCAAATACGGCAGTCATAGACTCACACTGTATCATGATGTATTTAAAATGTATTTATTTGTGTTATAAGTACATTTGTGCTTTGCCTGCATATATGTCTGTGTGAGGGTGTCAGATTTCCTGGAACAGGGGTTACAAACAGTTGTGAGCTGCCATGTGGGTGCTGGGAACTGCACCTGGGTTCTCTGGAAGAGTAACCAGTGCTCTTAGTCGCTGAGCCATCTCTCCAACCCCTCTCATGATGTATTTTAAAATAAGAATTTTATCTTTACTTATGAAGCATTTTAGTGATTTAACTGAACTGTATCATAAAATAAAAATACATTGGTTTGGGTTTCAATGGTTTTAAGATATTCATTCAAAAATAAATATATTTATATACAAAATCACTATTAAATTCAAAAGTGTGATGTTAATTTTACTGTACATTGTTCCATACTTCAATTTGAGTATTTTCTGAC